GTTTCTTTATAAATGAGTGGAGTGAGGAATTTAAGTTGAGAAATAAAGATAAGATAGAAGCATCATTCTCAAAATTTTTTAAAGAAATAATGAGGATAAAGGAGAACCATAAACAATAATTTCCAGTTCTCCTTATGGCAGAGACAATAAAGAAAATGATCATGACTTGCTGAGGAGTCAAACAACAGTATACAGTCATCATGAGGCAAAACACCCAACAAGTAAATGAGGCAGATTGTGACAGCAGGGGCTGAAAATGGCGAATCAATGCAGATAGAGGATGAGCCCTGGCACAAGCTCTCAGTCTTTGGGGCAGTCCTCCACACTCATCCCTCACCATCTCACAGCAAAGTGGGCATCCCACCCTCCCACATGGCTTCAAGTGCCACCCTGTCCTCCAACAAAGACATTCAGATTCAATTAAAGGCAAACAAGCAAAAGAATACAAAGGAGACAGCCAACTTTTGATCCCTGATATAGAGATTTCCGGTGATCCTTTGTGCAAATAGCATAAAAGGCAGCTGAGAACAGTGAGATCAGCATAACCTAGACAAAAGGGGTGCAGTCATAATAATTTTGCAGTTTAAGAATAAAAATGTGCTCAGCACAGGACACAGTAAAAAGAGAGGGCTCAATACATGGTAGCCAATACAGTATGTCTTTCAAAAAATAGATGTTTCAGTAAAGAATTAGGCATTCTACTGCTTTTTCTACATAGAAAAGTTCCAGTGAGTGACGCCCACTTACCATAAGAAAGAACAAGAGGGAATATAGAGCGACTGTGTGTCTGCATGTGTGTGATATCATATGATCAGTTTTAATTAATTATTGACAGCGTGGCTTGGGGTGTGCGTGTAATGAAGTTGCACACAGTATTTTTCAGGTATATTACTGGAGTCAATGGAAAGTGACACTACAAACAGTTAAAAAAGAATCCTTATTGGACATAAATAAAGAAGTGATAAATTTATTTCATCTCCTCCTCCTTCCTTTCTAAAGGAAAAATAGAAGACTCATAGCTATATAGTTTGAGGTGAGAAATTTCTAAAGATTTGAAACATATATATTGCATTTCATTGCACAGATCTAGAACCTTGTTTAAATCCAAATAAAATCATTTGTTTGGGTTTGATGCCTGTATGTAACCCAAAAAATACCTAAAATTGAAAACAAGTATCACACACAGAGATCAAGTGATTCATTTGTTCAAGTCAAATATTAGAATTAGTGGACTTTGTATTTTCAGTTGACTTACAAATTATATATGTATATGTGTGTTTTTTCACACATTTATATGTGTTATAATATGTATGTTGGATGAGTTTGTTCACACATTTGCAGCTTTCTATTTCCCGCATTACCTTAGACAAGTATGCATAAACAATTTGAACACTTACTTCATTTAATTCAAATTCTTGTGTGGCAAAGTAATTTGGTGCGATAGCTTTTTTTTTTTGTCAGTTTTCTGTTTTGTATTGCCTTACTGTTACTATCAGACAGCTGTTGAAATTTCAGGCCAATGGTTGGTATCTCTCCTCCATCTTCAAGAAATTGACATCTAGTTGTATAAACATTTGTTAATAACAATGTGTTCTTGCGAGTACAGACTTACATAACAAAAAAAGATGAACCAAATTGTTTCTACCTATGAGTTCTCTTTCGCAATTCTTGCTTTCTCTGTCAATTACTCCTTCTGCCTGTAGTCTACCTAGGTTGTGACTAGGAGGGGAAGAGGGAAAGAAATAGAGAACCTCAACACTTGGTTGCTATGATGGGGTCTAAGACTATTTCATTTTGTATATAGTTTACATTGCCCTCTTGGTTACCGTAGAGAGACCGTTAAATGCCATTCACAAGGTTGGGCTATATTAGTGCAGAGCCTGAGAGTAGCTGAAACACTAAGGGGGCATTACACTGACCGCACGGGAAAGGAATTCACTGGGACATCCATATGTTCCAAGAGGAAACAAGCAATGAGGCACTGAGCATGAAGAGTTGTAACTTGAGCCCACATCTCCTATCCACTGTATCACACTATTCTTTTAAAATACAGTTCAGGCTTCTGGGTAAAACAGTCTACACAGCATATATGATGGCTAAACACCTCCCTCTGGCCCAGCAGAAATAACAAGAAAAACTGTAAGTCATAAGTAAGCTTCTGAATGACATGTCATTAGCATAAGCATATCTAACACAAAATACATTTTTTAACGTATATAAACATTGCTTCCTCTGCAGTTTTTGCCAAGAGTTAAAATCCAGATGTAACATCTTATGGAGACAAAAACACTTACAGCTACTGTATGATAATTCCTCACACTACCAATTAAGAAACTCTGCCCTAAAATATGAATGTTTCTCTGAAATTCTCTACAAATCACCATTAATAAGATAATAGAGCAGAAAAATTAGCAGGGAGTTCATTTGATTTTTTCCCCCCTAAAGGCTGGCTTTAGTTAGAAAATTTATCTACATTTCTATTCTAACACATTGTGAATGATAAATGAACTGCACTGCATAAAGGACATGACATTGCTATGCTATTTTCTTTCATCAGAATATTCTACCTAGCAAAGTTCATAGCTCAGTGCTTGTCCCCTTATAAGGAATAGAGAAAGAAATGAAACTCACTACTCTGAAGACCTCAAGCTTAGGACATGACTCAAAATAGCAAAAAGAAATAGTCTAAGAGGCACAAGGCCAGCCAGCAAGCTGATTCACTGTTTTGGTCTCTATCAGGTCTGTCTGTTCCAGCTCTTTCTACATAGGAAAACCAATAAGAAAGCTATTTTACATTGCTTTCATCAACAGATTCAATGGCTTCAGGACCAGAGACAGTGAAAAGGTGTTTTTGCAGAAACTGAAAGTTGAATGCGAGAGGAAAACACAAGACCCTTCATTGCTTTCCCCCAGATCTGTCTGCACTCTCTTCTGTATTATTTGAAGAACAGGCTTCTTATTCAGACAACCTCCTATATGATCCCCATAGCAATGGCTATAACCCTGATGGGTGATAAATATTGAATTGAATTGGTATTGCTAAGGTGAGTGCTTCAGTCAGAGAAAAAACAACAACAACAACAACAAAAAACAACAAAAACTTGCGTTCTTTTATAGCTATTATAAGAAAAATCAATTTATTGTCACTGGTTACTTTTTGAACTTGAGGAACATGGTGGCTAACTCCCTCATTTTAGGTTAGAGATAAACACGTCAGCTAAGAACAGGGCAAAGTGAGAAACATGACACTTACAGAAAAGAGAATATGAGAAAAGTTGACCCTCAGAGTTCAAGTGGTATAAAGTGGAAACCACTCTAGGAGAAATGTTTACAATTCAATTTCTGGCTATTACGAGCTATGGTATTTCTGAGTAGGCTATTTATTAAATGAAAACCTTATGCATCACTAGCATTAGGTGTAAATCCTATTATGGATAATAGGGCAACTACTAGAACTCATTTGCTAATATTAGAAAATGAGAGCAAGAAATCTGTACTCATGTTTTCTAGAACATAAAAAACTGAAACAGCAAAATATTTATTTTTAAAAAGTCAACAAAGACAGGTCACTCTCATTTCTGATGTTGGCAATAAACATGTCAGAGAAAAAAACAATATAAGGCACATTATAAGAGTAAAATTTTGCAACTCTCTGTTTTGATTATTGAAACACTTAGCCAATAAAGAACTTCCCACAAGATGACATAACAATGAGAATGTTACTGATACGTAAATGAAAAGTCCTACAGTAAAATATATTAGAATATTAGAATGTTCCATAAAGGTCATCTATGCTGTGATATAACCCAACTGCCTTCCATTTTGGACTCTTAATATTTTGTTTGTTTGTATGGGTTTTTGTAATTCCTACCTAGCAACATGCATTTATTGCTCTTCTGGGTGGGGGAGAAGGGCACTTGACAGGGGCAATTAACTTATATTACATTGTTAAATCCTAACTTTAGATTCTGAAATTAAAGAACCTATTAGCAAAATCAATCAATATAATACAAATATGGTATATAATTAGTCTGGTCTTCCTCACTCTGCCACAGAGGTCAAAATGGAAAGTAAATGGTTCTAGATGTTAAATAATTTATTGTAATTTAAAAACTATACCTAATAAACGGTATATCTCTTCATATATAACACATGCAAAATTAAGGAACTATAAACTAGAACATGAAATATCGTGCTTCAGGGTTCTACGCTGTGTTTTTATCAGTGACAGTCACAGTACAGAGATCACGCCAGTGCTGAGATATTAACAATGTCCACGCAATGGGAAAACCATTACGGATGACTTTCAGTAATTTTCCCCAGCACGAATCATTATCAGCTGGCACTGCTGATTCTGTCAGGAAATCAAACCACTATTCTGTTTAGAAGTTAAAGTAAATAACACCTTTCACACTTACATGCTCAAGGCTTTATTTAAAAACAGTTTAAGGATGCTGGTTAATATACAGTATAGAGTTGGCTGTAAAAATGTTTATTGTTTATCTCTCCTACTGAGTTTTTAATGAAATAACTCATTTCTAATTAATCACAAATAATCAGGCGAAAAACAAAACACAAGCAGTCAGTATTAGTATTAGGGAAAAATTAGATCTTTTTAAAAAAGTAACAGATACTTTATGTCCCATAAGTACAATATAATGTCTCAGTTATGAATCAATGATCTTAGACCTATCTTGGTATTTAATTAACCAAGGGGTACATTCATGAAGAAGTATTCTACTGAGTTGAGATACTTAATTTAGCTTCTAAAAGTGTTCAGGTTTACAATGAAGGAGTAGCTTAGATATCAAAATTGGTTAGTGTGATTTCAAGTTACAAAATTGTGCCTAAAAAAAAAAAATATTAATCTGCATGCTTCCTAGTCCATCATGTAGATGTGAACGTATGTGGAGAAGGTATTAGAGTTGAGATAAGGCACAATAATATTCATTTATAATCAAGCCCTACAATAGTATAGCAAAATAAACATTAGCAAAGGCAATTTTACAAAAGCTTTTTATTGATTGAAATGAAAGACATTTTCTGAAATGCTACAATTACCATTTCAGGGCTTCAGAAAGACTGAGGTAATGGCATTTAACAAGATACTTAGTGGACAAGAGATCACAAAATAAAACTTACACAAAACGAGACATGGATGAGTTCATACATAATGGCTTTTATATTATCTTGGATATAATTCTTTATTTTGTATCACTATTGCGTATTTATTACAGAATTTCTAAACACAATTTGAAAAAAAAAAAACAAAGAAACAATCTTGGTACCTCATAATTTAGACCAAAAGATATCAGAACAAATACAGACACCAAATATCCATCTTAAATACTGTGTACATTTAACAGAAATAATCATACATGACAAATGATTCAAATTAGAATTTAAAAGGATCAAATAATTAGCCAGGAAAGCAAAATGTTTTTAACATATTATATATAACACTTCCATTTGAGAATCCTAGCTGCTAAGATGACTTGAAAATATGGTCTAGGATTCCTAATATTTTAAACATATTCTCCCATCTACTTAAAGAAAAGTTTGCTGTATTTGCATAAACCAATATTGAACTTTGGATACCTGACGGTTTGGCTAGACAACTGTATTCTGAAAAGCATACATGTTATAAGCTGTGTGACAGTGATAACAAGAAAACAAAACACCAATCTGCATCTGGTGGAGCTGAAATCAGGCCTCTTCAATTCGGCAGATCCACGTTCTGAAGGATGAGCGCCACTCTGCTTGGAATGTACACCTACGTCAAAACAATTATGTCAGTGCAATTGAAGAGAGTACCAAACGGCCTGTCATATGTCAAAGAGATATAGGCACGATGCAGTCTCACATCTGCCTAAAGTTACAGTTGCCTTTACAATTTTACATGCTCTTAGAAGGCTCAATTTCGCAGTTCCTACTGTTCTGGCAGCAACATGACTATCATAAAGCAATCACCACTAGAGGGCTCCATACGACTTAATGAAAACCAATGCTCCTCACAGGAATGATGTAACCGGCCCTGACACTGCCATGTTGAGGCTCTATCAGGTGGTGAAGGAAGGCTGCCAGTTCGCAATGTTACTACTTCAGTTAGACGAAGAAAAGCAATATACAAAGCACTTGTTTTGCATCAAGACACTTTTATTTGTAATCTTGTCTCTTTTTTTCCCTTTCAAGAACAAAAACTGAAATGTAATATAAGGAATCCTAACTCTCAATTTAAACCAATGACTGAGCTTGCCATTGCACTTAAACCAGGATTCAGATTCTCCCCATGGTGTGCACAGCCCTGACTCGCTCCTCTCTGCCTACATCTGGTATCCCAGCTCAGCTACTTGCTTGCATCTTCACCCACTACACTCCAGCCGCAGGAGCCTTTCAGTTCCTTGGACACATCAAACACTCCCCTTTTGTTGAATCTTTGCCTATGATGTGCCTTCTGCTGTAAACACTCGTTGCCTTGCTGGTTCCTTATCTCTTGGAAAAATCCCAGCTATATGGAGAGGCTTTCCTTGACAACCCTAGATATGGCAAGTTCTTCTTTTCTAACCATGGCAGCTTTTTTGTTTCTTTCTGAACACTTGACACAATTTGTGAATGATTTTTCAAGTTTACCATCTGTTTCCCTCATTAGACTATGAGCTTTAGAAAGGCGGAAGTCATACGTTTTACTTCTAACTCTCAGTTGGTGCCATTGGACAAGGCAGATGTTGATGATGACTGAATTAAAAAAATGAACAATGAACAAAGGAATAATAGTGGATCAATAGATGCATATTTAACAAGATATTCTCTAATAGATCTGAAATCTTTGCATAAAATTGAGAAGTGATTTGAACTGCTTAATGCTATTTATATGCCAGCTCAAACCATGTATCTAAGTATTAACAAAGCAAACAGTAAAAATAATACTATAGATGGTTGTCATTGTGACAATCTCTCTTCATTTCTGACTTTGCTGATATTTTACTATTTTCAGTCACTTTATCTCTAAATGAAAGCTTGCCTGATGGTTTAAAAAAAAAAAAGGCTTTCAGAGGTTAGAACCAGAATGAAGGCGCAAAGCAAACATGACTTTAGGAAAAAAAAAATTAAAGAAACAGAACAGTTGATTTTCATTTAATGAGACTTGTATGTCCAATACATTTCAACTCTGCAAATGAACACAATGTTTTCTCTTAAGGTTTCACAATAAAGAACCAATACTACTCAAAAAAATCAGACATATTGATACACTTGGTTAGTTTTTAACATCAAAAGTTAAAGCAGGTTTAAAATGGTGGCACTTAAAGAAATTTATATTCTGGATTTAATGGCTAGAGAACAGTTTTTCTAATCTTCAATTCAAAGTAATAGTGTTTTAGGAAATGAAGATCATCTGAAAAGATTAACAAATGCTAACAGTCACTGTAGCTCAATGTCTCATGGTCTGTTTTGCAATACAGTATTTCCAAAAAGATAAATATTACATCCATGCAGTCACTAAGCGTGAGAAAACCATGTATTTCAGTGCTACAAGCTGTTTCCCTATAGTTTACACATTGTATTTTACATTTTATAACTATCATACCACATCAGAATTTCACTGCTAATGCAATCCTTTCTATGCAACATTTTCTCTTTGTCATACGCAAGATGTTATGAGAGTGAGTCAATAAAAGGAAGCTGGAGTTATCCACAAATAAAGCAGGACTATTACCAAAGATCCCGACAGACCCAGTCCAAAGGAGAGCACATTTCCATAATCAAGCTACAGACAAAATGAACACAACCCAAAGCAAAGAAGGAGAAATAAAAACAAACAAACAAACAGTGTGATTCAACCCATTCCCTCCCTACATCTTATCAAAACAGGTACAAATTGAGAAAGTGACCTACCCTTCTAAAGGAGTTTCCCATGTACTTATTAGGGGATCTAGTCTAGTTTACATATTTCTTTCTTTTTTTTTTTATTTTTTTTTTGAGATGGAGTCTTGCTCTGTCACCAGGCTGGAATGCAGTGGTGTGATCTCAGTTCACTCCAATCTCTGCCTCCTGGGTTCAAGCCATTCTCCTGCCTCAGCCTCCTGAGTAGCTGGTATTATAGGCACGCAACACCATACTCAGCTAATTTTTGTATTTTTAGTAGAGATGGGGTTTCTCCATGTTGGTCAGGATGGTCTCAACTCTTGACCTCATGATCTGCCCACCTTGGCCTCCCAAATTGCTGAGATTACAGGCGTGAGCCACCACGGCTGGCCATAGTCTACATATTTCATTTTGGGGATCACAGTAACTGGATTTAACTAATCAGTGGGACAGCAGGTTACAATTTGAACGGTTCTGAATTATTCTGCCATGAGCAATCTAAAACTGAAAACCAATCTAAATATTTCAGCAGAGCCAGAAACCAGACAAAGTAATTTCAGCTCCCTCTACATGGAAAACATTTCTCTTATAGAGTATTGTCCTACAATGCAGGCAAAAGACTCTGATAAGTCCAAGGTGCCTGGGAAAGTGGCAATGAAACACATTAGTCAGGTCTAGGATAAATAATGAGAGGTCTCTGTAAGTGCGTGCTATAGTGATATAGCTCAGATTTGGATCCTAAGCAATTGTGATATCTACTGTTTCACTCATAACCTCATTATTTCATTAATGAAATAGAATAATAATTACATAATGATAATTTAGAATCACTCTTACTCTTTCATGTTTTGGCATTTTCGCTTGTCTAAATTTAAGAGGTTTTTTTTTTTTTTCTTTTTAGACGGAATTTCACTCTTGTTACCCAGGCTGGGGTTCAATGATGCAATCTTAGTTCACCGCAGCCTCCACTTCCCAGGTTCAAGTGATTCTCCTGCCTCAGTCTCCCGAGTAGCTGAGATTACAGGGATACGCCACCACACCCGGCTAATTTTTTTTTGTATTTTTAGTAGAGACGGGGTTTCTCCATGTTGGTCAGGCTGGTCTCGAACTGCTGACCTCAGCTGTTCCGCCCGCCTCGGCCTCCCAAAGTGCTGGGATTATAGGCGTGAGCCACCGCACCCAGCCGAGAGGTTTTTTTTTCAAAGGATGCCATAACAAAGTTCCAGGTTTGCAGTATATGCACTGAAATATATTCCCATTGTGGCATTTGATGGTTAAAAAATGCTTCAAGAATATTCACTAACAGATACTGGTCTTTTCATGTAAGGAGGTTTATAACGACACTTCCATCATACTTAGAGACCTCTTAATGCAATATGCTAAAAAAAAAAAGCCGTTGGTTCACAATTGTATAATACCATTAACAGAAATACTTTGTAATAATATACGTATATTTCACTGCAGTGTTAATTACCAGAATGTGTTTATATTGCTCCAGAGCCCTTGTGGTATAGGCAACACGGAAGAATTTCCCTAAGCCAGTGATTTTTCTTAACTATGGCTATTTATGGAATTTTGAGTTTTCTTCTGAGTATGTAAATCAATTTTTTTAGTGGTTAGGAAATTACTACTAATTATACTAAAGAACTTAAGACCATCAGAGCTAACCCTTTTGATGAGACAATTACAGAAACGAACAATTTGGGGTTCCTAAAATTTGGTCTAAGTATTGGCTCTGTAATTCTCATTTTATCACTTTAATTCATACAATAGTTTTGATTAATATGGCAAGAGAAAAGAAGCATGAACACATTTAAGTAGATTTAAACACAATCATTTAAGTATATTTAAATATAAAAAGTATATTGACATACCTGTATATAGAAGGCACTTACGATGCATAACATGCATGCTGATAAACATATCTCCTATGTCCATTTATTAGCCTGTAAGCCCTAAACATTTTATATCTAGAATCACCTTAAGAACATGAGACAATGTAGTATACAGCCATGAGTTTCATTTTTTTCTAGCTATATTAATAGTCTGCTCTTCACAAAGAATCAGAATAGCACAGTACAATCCAATTCATTTATTAAGAGAGTCAAATGCATGCTAATCTACTCAGTTATTTTGATGACTTTAATGACTTAATTATTACACTAACCATGAGTGTGGCTAAAAAAACAACTGTTCACACAATGGTCTATTTTATGTCATTCAGGCAAAATGTTATTTTCCTCTAGGCCTATGTTTTCCTCTAGGACTAATAATTAACTTGCAAAATTTAATTACACAATTTTTGAAAACACAGTATCAAACATTTTAAAAAAGAAAATTTTTAAATTAAAAAACATATAATACTTTAAAGGGCAATTTAAAAAACTCTCTTAGAAAATTTTAAGTTTAGAAATAGCATATACACATATAATTTTGGAAGAATGAAAACAGCATTCAGTGCGCCGGGCATGGTGGCTCACACCTGTAATCCCAGCACTTTGGGAGGCTGAGGCAGGTGGATCACCTGAGGTCAGGAGTTTGAGACTAGTCTGGTCAACATGATGAAACCTCATCTCTACTAAAAATACAAAAATTAGCTGGGCATGGTGGTGTGCAGCTGTAATCCCAGCTATTTGGGAGGCTGAGGCAGGAAAACTGCTTGAATCTGGGAGGCAGAGGTTGCAGTGAGCCAAGATCGTGCCACTGCACTCCAGCCTGGGTAACAGAGTGAGACCCCGTCTCACAAAAAAACAAACAAAACATCATTCAATGAAAAAGTCATTAGATTACTTCATAGTCTACATACACATTTTTTTCATAATAAAAATTACACAGTCTTTTGAAAAATAAAAGATGATATAAAATAATTTTAGTTTTCACATACATGTTTTAGTTCATAAAATACTTTTTTAAGAAAAAATAAATTGTATTCTTTTATTCTAATTCTCATTATTTTGCATTAGGGTTGGGAGAAAAGCGATGCTAGTGTTTCTGTATAGAAATGTATATTAGTTCATCTAACTTACATACATTAAAAAAGTAAACTAAAAATCAAGATTTTCTTTCTTCTAAAAAACTATTTTCATAATTTTGAATAGAGCAAAATATATTTTCCAACTGTTAAGCTGTACTAAAACTTACAAGTGAGGGGCAATAAAAATGATACATCTATGCCAAATCCTACATTTAAATCAAGTCTACTTTTGAACCTCCAAATTTAGAATGAGAGTGAATACATCTACTTCTTATTGATAAGAAGCCTAATTGTCAAAGTAATTAGTGCTACATCTATTGCTTTATTCTCATTTTCATCATCATCATTCAGTTAATGTAAAGAAATTGAATTCATTTAAGGCTCAATAATCTCTTTTCTCCCATTTGTGCCATGGAATTTGATTTTATGAATCAGAGGAGAGAAAGGAAGTCCCCTGCCTCCAGTGCACTGATTAACATATAGGTTAACATATTAGGTTCCTGTATCAGGAATCAAACTATAGAGAAATGATTATGCTAAAATGGAGTTTCCAATAACTGCCAGTAAAGCTGACTGGCGGAGCTCTGTCCCATCGCTTTTGGACATTTGTGACATACTCTGACCTTAGCAAATACGTTTCAATGGCGGTATACATGCAGTTATCCCTGGCTTCACAGTTTCAACTGACGGAGCACACAGAGACAAGGCTAGAGCAGTACCTGCTGATGCTGCAGCATGTATGGCTATTATAAAATTCCTTCGAGCTGTTTGTTGCTATCTTTGAAAACAGATTTGACACTTATTCAGCGATCCTTTGGATTATTAAGCTTGCAAATTAAGCTTTGGCAAATGCTGTGTACTAGTTATGATGGGCAAAAATTTCATGGAAGAAGGAAAAGTTATATTTTGTTCTTCCTTCCTCCTTTTAGTCTGTGAGAATGGGAGGTATGAGTGATCTCACTGGAAGAGGTATAAGACCTACAGCACTCATGATCATGTTCAAGCAACTCCACTGGATCCCAGCACATATGACTCAGTTTAATAAGGAGTTTCCTTATAATGAGGCATTATTACAGTAGGTACATTTGTTAATGTGATTTTTTTTTTCTCCTCTGGCTCTTTGCTGAATAACTTAGGTAAAAAGAAAACCTGTTTGCCTAGATTTTCTGTATTTTACTAGTCTGTGTGGACTCCCTTAATCTGACATTAAAACGAGTGATCTTATCATCTGGAGCCTAAAGGTGTATTTAAATGAGTAATTCCTGAAGCACTGTAGTCATGGAAAACAAGATGCTGCTGCTGGGAAGAGAGAGCTAGCCCTCATCTCACGGGCTGCACTGGATTAGAGTTCTGTTGCACGCAGCGTTCAGCTCTTTTCTGTTTGCCATGTCCTTGCAGTGCTGTCCTCCTCTATGTATTATTGATACTTATGAGATCTTCTTTATTCCATCTGATAATTTACAACTGCATTTTCCACATTGGTGAGATCAATTCCATTAGTGCTTGAAAAGTAACCTCCTGATGTTGCTGCCACTGGCTGGCTGGCTTGTTTTAATTATGCCAGCATATCTTTACTCTCACAAAATTGAAAGGATGTCAAGATATTTTCTGCCCACCTCAAAAGAGTCTGAGCCGTCGCCTAAGATTATAATTTCCCCAAAGTTGGGAGAAGGTATTCTTAATTGTGTGTCCTCAAAACACTTAGTATTTTGATATGTTTAAACTACTAAATAATAATTGCCTATCCATGACAATAACACCTTTAAAATACATATGCAGTAGCATTTTACAGTTTCCAAATACCTTGGGCATGTTAAAGAGTTTCTGCTTCCTAAGAATCTCTTGCTGTAGGGAAGATAATATGAATAATCCTCATTTTACACGTGGGGGAAACTGCAGTGCAAAAAAAAAGTTAAATCACTCAATTTCTCAGTGAGTAAATGGCAGACTAGGGTCAGGATCCCAGGTCCTGTGCCATGGCATTTTGTGATATTTTCACTATACCTTCAGGCTCTTTATCACAGAACCCTGTTGGGGTACACAGACATTTAGAAAAGCTGGCTATGTAAGAATTTCGTGGTCTGAGTCTTTCCAAGTCCTTTCATTCTAGTTCCATCAGTGAAAGTTCAGTGCTATTGCAATCAGTTGCTCCTTCCCCATGACTCCCCTTTGTGAGCTGAATCATCTTTCCGAAACCCTAAGGGCATCTAACTCTTTTGATTATTTCAGAACTTTATGGTAATTTTCTTATTCACTTCCTTGATAAAAAACTATTTTTATCAATCTTATTTTACATGTCAAAATTGAATGTTCTCACAGACTACAGTAATAATTCCTTGAAGAATGTGATGGCACCCTTGAGCCCTCTCTCTTAAAAATATATATCTTTCTCCACATATATCTAAAGCTGGATCAGTGTCATCATCAACACACACTCATATGCACACACACAGATTTAGGTCAACACCTAATTCTCACAGGACTTTCCACTGCACTTTCCTCACAACCCATAATCTAACAACTCACACTTTGTAATCCCTGCTCTTTTCAGTGATTTTATGCTGTGATCTTTGGGATTTCACTTTTATGTATAATATGGCAGCTTACAAAGCTGAGTGCTGGCATCACTCTGAGAGGTGGGAAAACAGTAGAGAGATGGAAGGCCTAGGGGAACCACAGAGATTCTCATGCCTGACTTCTATCTAAACTCTTGAAAAGTGAGAGAATTTAATGACATAAGAACGTTAACAGCTATGGTAAAGTCATGTATTTGTTAGGTACCTCCTAGAATTAGGAATGGTAGATGTGGTTTTGAACCTACTATATGGCCATAAATTAAATAATGAATTCCTCTGAATCTAGAAACTTACTAAATTCTACATATTTTAAAGAATTTAAACGTAGTAGTTTAAAGCAACATTCTAACATTCTATTTGTGTGAACACCACAATGTAAAAATTAGTTATGTCATATAATACTTCCTTCAGTAATATAAAAAATCCAGAGAATTTTATAACTAGAATGAATTCAGTCTTCAATTTACCACATGAAAGAAAAGAAAGATACATTTTTCATTGACTCCTTTAAGGTGTTTTAAATTAAACTTCATTTGCTAGTCCATAATGTAGAAATCTGCTTAATATAAAATGTTATGGAGAAAACAAGAACAGAAGGAGACTGAATTGTTGCATAAAGAATAGAAATGTTCATAATTGAAAGAAAAATAAAAAACTGCCTTCTGCTCATTTCTTGAGAAATAGTTTTGAATCCTATTAATATTTAATTTTTGCCAATTGTCCCCTAAATATCCTTTACTATTAGTTTTTCCAAAACACAATTTAGTCCAGTACCACACATTACGTCTGGTCAAGCATAGTCCCCTCTCCCTAATCCCTTTCCTTCATGCTTTTATTCCATGTTGCTTATTTGAAGAGTTGTTTATTTGAACAAAAACATTACTAGAAGAATAAGAGAGTAAATTAAAATAGCAGGAAATATGTTGAGAAACTTACTTACCAAAAGAGAATAGGGACGCCCATTATGTTCAAAAGCCTCAGAAAAAAAGTCAGTGCTGTGGTCCAGTCTCTGATGCCCTCCATATTCCGCTGCATCTGAATCTAGCACAATTTTGAATGTACGGCTTTTAAGGAATTCACAACAGTTGAGGAGTTGAATGAGACATTGTAAAATATGTGCGGAGAGAGCAATTTAAAAGTGAGTTTTTGAGCAGTGTTAAATCATAATTTGTGCCAAGCACTCATTTCTTCTTTTATAGTTTTATGTTTGAAAGGGGCTTTACAGGCTATCTACTGCACACACCCATGAGATCCCTGCTATACTCCCATCACGACTCATCAAGTGATCACCCAGCCTGGGATGAAACGTACCTAATCTACTTTTCTCTTCAAGCAACCTATTCCACTTGTTATAAATTCTTCTCCATATTGAATAGAAATTTTGCTCTGTGAGATTATATTATTTCTACCAAGACAAGTCGTAAATAATAAGTTCAACATGTAGTCGCCTTTTAAATATTTACTAATAGTTATACTATCTCCAAGTGTCTGCTAGATATATTACTAAATACATACAGTCAGTCCTCCATATCTGTGGATTTTGCATCTGTGAATTCAATCAACTTCAGATAAAAAAATATTCAAAAAAGGAAATACCTCGTTGCATCTGTACTGAACATCTGGTTTTTCACAATAAGTTGTTAGATGGTATTAGCATATTTACAGCAAAATTAATAAAAGCTATCATTATGTTCAAATTTATTAGGCTCAAAGTATCTAGAAATGGTACTTGATATAAAAATCTGCAATGATATATGCATTGGTATCTTAGAAATCTTAAGTTTCTTCTAGCCTTAGCAGAAATGCAGATAGTTTAAGTGCTTTTTGTTTTGATTTCCTGGAAAATATATCATTAATCTCAGAAATGTTAGTATATTACCATTACTGCAAAAATTATCACATTAATTATCACATTGAGCAAGGAACAATAAGCCATCATTGTCAACCCTTGAAAATCTTTGTCTAAGTCAGAAGTGAAGATGGACATGCTACGGAAACTCAGAAGTGAAGATGGACACGCTACAGAATCTCGGAAGTGAAGATGGACATGCTACAGAAACTTCTGCTAGTAGTGTTGGCTCCATTTTAGTGAATCCAGGCCAGCCTTCTCTAATTCAAACTGAAATTGATAATCAGAATATTACTGTATTGAGAAAGAAAGACTGAGATTCAAATGATGACTACTAGGCACAGGGACATTTAAAGTCACTCAGTATAGCTGAACATGATTTGAGCCTACCAATACATTTAATGCTGAAATATGGATAATGAAAATAAATAATCAAAGACATGGCAAATAATGAAATACTGTGGAATAAAAAAAAACTATTCAAACAGAAGTTTAGCTTTTGTTTTTCATTCCAGTTCACTAAATACTGGGATAAATCTTCCGAAAACTAAAACAGTACAGTTCAGAGAGTAATGTTCTAGAATACTTTAAAAACAACTGAATTAAAATATCAATTAATGAATTACTGGTTGAAACATAGGCTTTTGATAGCAGTGGCTAAATAAGGCAAGCATATCATCAAAAGCAATGGTTCCCAACCTGACTGGCAGTCCTGTCATTGTAAGTTCTCGCTGAGTGAGTAGTTACGTGATTGTAAGGGGCTGGGAATTTATATACGATTAGGCGTTGTCTAAAGACTAAATTATGTTATTATACACATTTGACGCTGTGTTTCAAAGAATGTACATGTTTTTACTATTAAAATGCAGATTATATTGTTCCCTTCTTTGTGTCCATGTGTACTCAGTGTTTAGCTCACGTTTGTGAGAACATGAGGTATTTGGTTTTCCATTCCTGTGTTAATTCAACAGACACCAGGGCCTACCTGAGGGCAGAAGATGGGCAGAGGGTGAGGATGGAAAAACTACCCATCAGGTACTATGCTTATTACCTGGGTGACAAAATAATCTGTGCACCAAACCCCCACGACACACAGTTTACCCACTAACAAACCTGCACATGTATCCCCTGAACCTAAAAGTTAAAAAGAAAAAAAAAAGAAAAGAAACCATTAGGTCCAAACATTTAATGTGCTTTTTACACAATGAATGATCAATTATGGGAATGTGATAAGACACAAGAGCTTGTGCTGGGGGCAGTAAATTGTGGGAACACAATGAGGAAATACATGGGGGAAACTGATGGAAGACAGGGTTATTTTAGTAGGTTTGTACAGGTCTATTTCGACTTCCCAGTCTCTGGTGATGAGAATGTCCTCCTATTCCTGGCACAGGAAAGATACCTTTTTCACGGGCAATTTTATGATTTGCTTTTTGGTAGAAAGGAGGAGATCAAAGAGCCTCTTTCTGCATCTGTTGTTTCTCAAACAGATTCAGCTCAAAATAATCAATAAGCCAAAGTGGGATATTTTGGGGTAGCACGTTCTGAACCCCTTCCTAATCAAATTCAACTTCTCACTAACACTAGAGATGACTATTTCCTCCTATGAACACTTTCATTTTAGTCACCTGAATTATAATTTTTAAAATGTTATAGGAAAGTTATTCAAGGTTGCAAAACTAAAAATAATAATTCCTTCATTTACTTAGGGGCATTTTTTTTTTTTTTTTTTTTTTTTTGAGACAGGGTCTGGCTATCACCCAGGCTGCAGTGTAGTGACACGATCTTGGCTCACTGAAACCTCTGCCTCCCGGGCTCAAGCAGTTTGTCCCACCTCAGCCTCTCAAGTAGTTGAGACCACAGGCACATGCCACCAGACTGATTTTTATATTTTTTGTAGCAATGGGGTTTCACCATGTTGCCCATGCTGGTCTCAAACTCTTGAGCTCAAGCGATCTGCCCACCTCAGCCTCTTAAAGTGCTGGGATTAGTGAGCTACTATGCCTGGCATGCCTTTTTTTTTTTTTCTTAATAAAGGAGAATGTCCTCAACAAAATTATTTTTCTGAAACAGAATTAAATAATATTTAATTGTTATTTTCAATGTTACAGTAAAATAAAAATCATGTGTCCATCATTTTACATGCTTTTCCCACAATAAAGTACAGACTGAGCTTCGCACACCAAAAAATGCAATTTTAAAGTCACAAAATTTCATAGTTTTTGTGTATACTTTTCTCGATCAAAGGACAGTAAAAGAACAATTGCTATATAAGGATTCATTTCTCTTTGACACTGAAAGAGACTGTCATATTGAAAATGTTAGAATCTACTTACTTTATATAATTGGTAGCCATACAGGAAAAGCTTATAAAAGCCATAGAGAAAGTTTCAAAACATTGGTTTAGACATGTTTCTCTGGCCTATAATTTAAAGAAAAAATTTTTCTGTGTCCAATCGTGCAATCACCTAGTTCTGTGTCTACATTAGCCAGGGAAAACAATAGCTTCCTTTAGAAAATGTGGCCTTTAAAATCCAGAAATTTCTACCAATTTAAACACTAAATGAGAGGTAACGCGTGTGAAAAAGCTTTATAATCACGAATCGATGCCATATATTATTCAAGTATCAGGAAACTACATGTTTTAGGAATACTGCTTAGAATTAGAACAAGCCTTTTCAAAGAGATTATCTGAGCAACTGATTTGTTTGTTTTTCATGTTCTCTCTCGGGTACTCCCTCACTCTCTCATGTGTATGCACATACACACAGATGCACATACATGTACATACATGATACAGGACACACACAGCACCACAATTCCTACATTGTCCTTTTTCTGTGAAAATTTACCTCTGAAACTATGACTCAAAGCCAATTTATACTTATTTTCAACTACCATCGTTATATAGTTTCCAATACAGAGCATACAAGATAAATTTAGCAGGACACCTTAAAAGGTCATCTGTTATCCATAGCTACCTCCATATTCCTAGCAGAGGACCTTCTCATAATAGGTTCCCAATAAAACTTGGAAACTGATATTCAGAATGACAACACTGACTTACCAAGAAAAGCCAAATTACATATATTGTTTTTTATAATTGAGGAAAGTACAATAAATTATCTTTACTCCCCCATTCATTTACTAAATACATACAATGTACAAGATATTGTGCAAGAAACAAAAATAACTAAGATAGGGTCTTCATTTACATGTGGCTTACAGCCTGTAAAGGGAGATTAGGCATACATATGAACCTGCACAAGTAGAGCAAAAAGCAATATGCAATGAAAGGGAGAGAAGGAAGTCAAGGAAGAAAACTATGATGGACAAGCCGTATATGAAGGCTTCTGAAGGCTGGGCTAGGGTCTTAAGACTTATTTTGTTAGTTAAGTGTGATAGTGTTTAAAATTCTTGAGAAAGGGTTTTACAATCAAAAAAATTAACCCGGAGGTTGTAAGCAGTATGAAACAGACGGTCAAAGACTAAGTCGGGAAAACCAGTCAGGAGTCTAACAACAGTCCAAGGATAGTTATGTATGTCTCATCTCTGACAATGGGAAAGGAGAGACGTAGACTGAGTTTTAGAAGTACACAGCACTCAAAAGTAAGGAAACTGAGGCTGAATTAGGGAAACGGAAGTGGAAGGGGAGAAGAGTTGGCCCAAAGGCAGACAGCTTGTTACGTGGTAGAGTTGGGAGGTGTGCCTAAGTCAAATGCAGCTCTGATTACCTTACTGACTGCATGTGGCACCCATTTTATGCCAAGAATAAGGTAGTGTTTTCATATACAGTTTCTTGTTTATTTCTCAGGTTGAAATTTTTTATATTGTTATATTTGAGACTTTGTAATTCATAAAGGAAAGAGGTTTATTTTGGCTCATGGTTTGGCAGACCATACACACAGGAAGCACGATGCTGGCATCTGCTTTTGGTGAGGGCCTTAAGAAGCTTACAATCATGGCAGAAGGAGAAGGTGTCCAGGAATGTCACATGGCAAGAAAGGGAGCAAGGGAGAGCGAGGAGGAGGAGTGAAGCTCCTTTAAACAACCAGCTCTCATGTAAGTGAGAACTCACTTGTTACCAAGGGGAGGGCACCAAGCCATTCACGAAGAATCCTCCCTTGTGTCCCAAACACCTCTACCAGGCCCCACCTCCAACACTGGGAATCACAATCCAACATGAGATCTTGAGGGACAAATGTCCAA